ACATCTCCAGCTATGTCATTCTGCTCAGCCCATTTTTCCATTGCTGGTTGGTTTGGTTCCGTAACTACTGATAGAATTTTATCCAAGCTACTCCACAGGTCTGCCTCCATAGCCACAATACTGCTGTCCAGTGAAAGAATGTCATCTTCTGCCGCATTTTGGGAAGCATTTTCCTTGTACAACTTCAATAGCCAACATAAATGGTGCATAACAGTGCTGCCATGCGAGTTCAGATTCTCTAACCGCCAAAGTCCCAAATCTGAGAAGTTTTCTTCTTTCGTTTCCCATATAGGCTGAAACCCCAACGATGGAGTTAACAGATTAGCAAAACCAAGTCCAGAACCCTTGCTTCCACCCCCCTTCGGATCAGAATCAATTACAGTACCAACCTCATCAATTAGAAGGCTATGCTCAACCACCAGAAGCTTTCTGAATGGTATAGTTGCTTTAGTCTCTTGAGAAACAATGTTTTGAGTAAATCCCTTCTTAGCCATAGCATAATTTGTGTTCATGCCATGAACACCAGCATTCTCCTCTTCTATTTCCACAGTGTCCTCTATACATACAGTCCCTGTAGAGCTTTCCCAAGTATGTGAATTAACCATTTTATCCACGGCAGATTCATATTCCTTGGCAATGGACTGAATCACCACAGAAATTTTCTTCCTTCGTTCTTCATCACTGTACTTTCCTCTCCATACTGCCTTGTTTTTTTCTTCCAACAACAGGGCTTTATCCCTGAATTTAGAAAAGTATTCATAGTGTTGCAACTCTGCTTTAGTCTCTTTCATTAGGCACTTTATGAAAATTCTTTTCAACCTATCTGCATCTTTGTGCCTCAAGGAAGCTATCAGGAGTTGGAATGAATTTCGAACCAAGTCTGGGGAGTTTTCTACTCTCATTCCCCTTATAAGAGAGCCCATAGCTCGTGCAGCAACAGAATAATCCTCCAGAGTAGGATATTGAGGAACTGCAGGTGCAAATCTACCTTTAAACAGCCCTCTACTTGTCTCGGGATCTACATATGTATTTATGGCAATTACACAGTAGTGCAACCACCCGCCTACAGAATATATCCCTCCTTGATTTGTTCGCTCGGGTACCATAACAGCTTCCTCCATCAAACCTATCCATGCCTCGTGATCAACATATTTCTTATAATTCCCAGCAAGTATGATCCCCATTTCATTTTGAATATACTTCATACAAGTATCACTATCAAATCTGAAACCATCAATCTTATTCAGCCCCTCCAAAGTCAGGTTTGATGCATGACTGTGCCCAATATCCATTAAAACACACAATCCAGGTTCATGAACTATATCAATCAAAGTTTTAAAATCTCCCGGGTTTATGTCCAATGCATTAGCATACCGTATATCATCATAGATAAGGATATTTGATTTACCCTCTTCGAAACCTTCCCTATTGTCGGATGAAAATCCAGTAGGTTGATTAACCTCCTCTTCCAGATCTGATTCTGTAACTGATGGTGTAACCGGCTTCAACTCAGGGGTCAGCGTAGGTGGCTGAATTTCCGGTGATCTATTTTCTGATTCAGAGTGGTCCCCATAGCCGAGAACTGTTGAACATGACAATGTTTTGGCATTTTCCTCAACCGGACTGACATTAACTCTACACAGCCTCATACTTTGCATTCCAGAAACCTTGGTGTTTGGCTGATGCTCCTCGTGCTTGTCCTCCAGATCCGGTTCCTTAATAACAGGTTCAGCTGGCCTCAACTCGTTGTTCAACTGTGGATTCTCCAGCATTCTATTTCCTGATTCGACAAGTGTCGTTTCAATGGAAGATGATGATTCCTGCCAGAACGAGGATGTTTTCGCCCTGCGTGAATCCTCTGGCAACGACGCCTGAGAACTGGAAACTACCTTTAGCGAAGAAGCTGACGCGGGTTGCAGTGACATCAGCGAACGGGAAGCTTCTCCTCTCGGTCTCAACGAACTGGGAGAGGATGTGGTTAGCGACTGAGAACTGAGCGAAACTAGAGATGAAGTCAGCGAACGGGAAGATGAATTTCGCGATTGCGAACTGTGAGAATTCCTTGACGATCGCGACTCCTGGTTCTCTGACTTCCGACTGCGTTGTTGGAAACGCCGATTTATGTCCTCCTTCAGAACTTCCCAACTCTTTCCCCTCGTACGAAATTCCCACCCTTCAAACCAGTAAAGGGCATCATCCTCCATAGCCTCTGCTGCAACGTCAACTTTATTTTTCTCCCCAGTAGCTTTGAGATGGAAATACTCTTCCATCCTCACAATCCAACTGCCTACATCATCCCCATCCCCATCCCCTTTAAACAACGGTAGTTCAACCGTTATTCTCGTACGACCACTTTTATCGCGATTCACACCAGAACGAGACTGATCAGAATCTCTCGCGTCTCCAAGTAGCGAAGTGCGATGTAAAGAGTGATGCGAGCTGTGCATTGTAAACGTTGGATTCCTCGGTAGATTTTGGTTACTGTTCATCTTCTCTACTGTCTCCTGTAGCATCGCCAGGTTCATCGCAACTTTTTCCGTCGCGGATTTCATCTCCAGGTTCGAACGCATCTCCAGGTTCGAACCAAAGGCGTCCAGTTCTGACCGTCGCGGTTCTCTGCTCTGCTCGGCGACCCTCTTCCTTCGTTCGTATCTCAGCATCGCGGCAATCAATTTTCCTCTTCAGCGATCGATTAAGACTCCAGGAGCGAATGCTCTGATACCAATGTTAGGAATCTGGCAATAACCCTAGCAAAAACAGTAACAAGCAACACAGATCTGATAATGGAGTAGAGAAGCGATGTTTATTGATAAGCGATATCTCAACTTAGGCAACAAGGCAACCGGGACAAGGCAACACTCATATCAAAATAACCGTCCCCTACAATAGCTATTCCCCCTTCTATTTATAGCCAATATCCACATAAGGATATGCCAACTATTACTATTAACCCCTTCCCTTCTAAATATACTACTACAAGTACCCTTACTAATATTATTATTATTATTATTATTATTATTATTATTATTTCTTATTAATACCTATTAAACCCAGATTCCTAACAAAGCAGCAGCACGGCCTTCCAAACCCACCACTCGCATAATGAAAAAGATTTTCCGAACGGCAGAAGCCCACACCTGCTTGGATTCCAAAAAGTTGGTACACTCCAAAGCAGGTGGCTGCCATATTATTGGTTGGCCTGACAAATCTTGAAAGCCGTAACAAAGCAATCAATGCATGGGAATGGATATTCACCGCAAGAAGCAACAGACTGGACCACAGGCTTCTCAGGATGCGTCAGCAGATTTGCAGCTCCCGAATTTCACACACTAACACCTCCAGCAGGCAACACAAATTTTTAGGCAAAGTGACATTCCCTCAGACCTCAGTAAACATGGCTGGCAAGAATTATTCTAATGCATGGACATTATTAAAAAAAATAGCAGGTTGATTGAACACAACCGAGAAAACCAGAAAGACTTACCCATGGTGATTTAGTGTGTATCCAGAACCCACATACTGACTTGGAGAGTGTATATGATCAAGTATCTAAAGAAGTTCTTTGGATGGCGTTCGAGAAGAAAAGTGCATGAGCTTCCAGTGACTGAGTTATAAATGATAGCTATGAATGGAAATGGTTAGGGTGAGACACAAAGAAGTGAACCTAATTAATTGTCAATAACAATAAGGGTCCATCAAGGATCTGCCTTGAGGCCATACATGTTTGTGCTAGGTGCATGTTATTTTTTGATAGCATCTTTCTGAGATAAATCTTTGGGATTCAAGATGAACTACACAGATCTAAGACAAAGTATATAGGCTGTACATTCAGAAAGACTTATTCCGAGGGGGAGGTCGAAATAAGATTACACTCGGAGAGAACATACAAAAAGAAAGCATTCTCTACTTGTTTTTACAGATGGACAAGATGGGGAACATAAAGCAGATGTTAAGCATACGATGCACCACTAAGTGGAAGAATGCAGAGAAGATTTAGTTTGATCGAAAATTTCCACTTAAACTGAAAGGAGGATTTTTTTTTAAAGCTATTTGGCTTGCTATGATATATAGCTCAGTAATCTAACACTGAAGTATCAACATGTTCATAGAAATGTCAGTGGTGGAGGTGAGAATGTTGAGATGAATGTGTGGCAAAACTAGGAAGGACAAAATTTTGGAATGAGGTGATGCTAGAGAGAGTATGAGTAACCCCGATTAAGGATAATTAGACAATATGAAGGAGAACCAGTGGAAATGATTTGGCCATAATCAGAGAAGCCAGTCAATGCAGTAATGCACAACAAAAAAGCTAAGAGGGTAGAAGAAGACCTAAGTTGACTTGGAAGGAGACTATTAGACGAGATCTCATAAATATGGGACTTATGGAGAAAATGGCTCTCGACAGACCTCACCTAGTGGGTAAAGGTTTAGTCCGTTTTCATATCCGAAGCACATCAGTTGTTTTGGTCGGGAACAAAGTTGTTTCAAAGGTTACCCTGTAAATTCATGACTCAAAACCAAACTATTGACAATTGCTTTTGTCCCTTAAGTTCCATGCATGACATGCCTCCACTCAAGAGGACAACATTGGACGAAACTAATGTTAGTTGGCAATTGACACAAGTCATGGAACTGATGAGGCATAGTAATCAGATTCACCACTGTCTTTGCTTTTATGTGTAGTTACTTCTTCTTTTTTATATTTTTTTATAATTATTCTTACCAAATCGGCAACAATGGATCTCTACTTTTCTATTGTAATATTACTGTTGATGATTTCAAAAGGAGGCAAGCTGTACAGAAAGCAATGCAATGAACACTACACACATATCTTCAGCAATCACATTCCTAAAAAGTTAAGGTTAACAGTTTAAAAATAAATCAAGGTACAGTTAAGGGGTCAACAGCTAAACCATCTGGCCTATTTACCTTGCACCAGTGTTTAATTTCACAATACTCAGTGCATATTACTTGCAATTAGAGAGAGTTCAAAAAATTACCTTGCCACAAACTGGACAGTTATCACTTCTCTCCATCCATTCATAAATGCAACCAAGATGGAAATGATGAGAGCATTTCAATATTATTTTGGGGTTTTCTTCTGTATATTCTGCATAAGAAAGATGCAAAAATGTGTGAGCATAAACACAAAACACAAATCGTAATATCCTAACTCTATCACCACCACTAAGATCAGTTATGCTTATCAGCTTATGTAAAGAGAGACGTTTCAGACGTCAGTTTTCTTTAACCCCCTCGAGAGAAATTGCAAGTAAGAGTAAACAGAATAGCAGGAAGACATTCAAGCGACGGGAAAGGCTGAAAGGATGGCTCCGTGGCTCAAAAAAAAGCTACAGCATACCTTCAAGGCATGTAGGGCATGCATCTTCATCTTCTGAAGAGGAAGAAGAAGAATAAAGATGGGCGAATCCAGTAGTTTTAGAGGTTGAAAGCTTAAGTGAGGTTTTAGAGTTGAGCTCTTTTAATCCTTGCTCACAAGAAGCATCCCATTTGTTTCCGGTACTCATAGAATCATCATCATCATCAATATCATTTCTTCGTAATGGTTCAGTCTCCTCATGCGAGTGACTTGAACCTTTTTCCCTTCTAGAGACTAGTCCATCTCTTTGTAAACGGAAATATCTAGGATCAGCATCATAAGGTAATGGTCTAGGAGGAGACCGATACATGTCAACGAGAGAGCTATCGGGTGACCCAGCAGAACTCAAAGACGCTGCCACTTGAGTAGATGAACTGATGACACGTTGTTCTCGGTGAAATACTGATGTATACTGCACAGCAATTCAGGAAAAGAATATTTCAAGTCATAGTGATTCTTTGGTAAAGATCATGTTGATGAGTGTTGGACAACTAACATCTTTTCCTATTGGGATATATACATGAGCTGCTTAAATAGCTAAAAAGCCTCGTAATGTATTTTTTCTCTGCCTCAGAACCTCATAACAAAAAGTTATTACTTTGTTTTCAATTTCAGCCATATTTTTAGCAAACACTAACTTTTGCATTCGCGAGCTGAATTGGTCATTAATGAAAAGTAAGACCGAGTGGATGTACTTTTGTGGCTAAATTGGCCAAAAGGCTCATTTTTACTTCTATTTGTTAAATTTTTTCTTTATTTTCTGATAAATATGTAATTGTTTCTCATATTTCAGCACATTCACCCATTCTACTTATAACTTCAGCATTTTCAGCGAGATTTTAGGCTTGCCAAACTGGCTCAGAGATAGTCAAGTAGCCATAAAATGCTGAAGAAGATAACGGAGGCATATACAGTTCCTGTATAACGGAGGCACATTCACCCATATTTCTTTATTTTTCTTTATTTTACTAATAAAATGTTTCTTAAACATGTTTTTAATATTTCAGCACATTCAGCCATTTCAGCTTTTTAGCAGATTCGCCATATTTTAGGCTTGCCAAACTGGGTCTGAGATGGTCCAATAAAGAGGTAGCTTCTGTGATAAAATTGCAAGAGTGCAGAATATAGAGGATAGTTGACCAGATCACATACCACATATAAGAAATGCTGAAGAAGATAACGGAGGCATATACAGTTCCTGTATATTGAGCTGTTTGGAGTCACAAAATCCTCATAACCATCTCGCAAACAGCAGCATATACCGCCCATGTTACTGTCCAGAATCAGACTCTATCATGTACTTCTCTTTTCAGATCAAACTGAGAGAATCCAAAGCTCACAGAAGTTGTGGGAATGCGAACCACCAACCACTTTCTGTTGAGAACAAGACTGAATGGTTTAGCGAAACATTTATGTGAAACAAAATGCATAAGCTAAAGATATTCAACTTTAAACAATAAAAATCTTAAGAATACATTACAAAAGCGACAGTTTAGTAATAAAAGGAGCGAATTTGCAATTTCTCTACTCAGAAGCAAAGAATTAGAAAACGACTCCAATATGCCAAAAATCAAGCTTATCATGATCAAATTCAGTAAGTCCTGTTTCAGATTATCCAAAGAAATCTAAATTCCTGTTTTGAAATTCAAAATTAGCATTCGTGAATCAAACTGGGAAAACCCATTGGAGACAACAAAAGTGAAAACTGATCACCTATAGCTTTACCGGGAAACAGGGAAGCATATATCACTGTCACAAATAAATACGGAGTCTTGAAAGAGAAAACGAAGAAATACCTCAACTTAGGAGGAGAGTGGACTCTAAACTACTCTAGTTTTTTCCGGTTGTTTGAGAGAAGTCGATGGACAATGCATCAGAGGCCGGATGCCTTTAGGCTTTAGTCTTCAATTGTTCTCCATATTGTGTCATGCTAATCATAATTATTATCACTATTGTTTTTTTTAAATAGATAACCATTATTGTTAATAATAATTATAATCATGATGATTTTTTTTTAACCGAGACTAGCCACTTTATTGATTCAAAAGTTCATTCGCCAAAAGGCTTACAATACAATCTGACATAACATCATAACAACAACTATGATCTGAGATGGAAACATGTGCTCTAGCAAGCGTGTGAGCAATACGATTCGCAGACCGTGGACAATAAAAAAATATGAAAATTGCTCTTGTACTTATCACGGATCGTATATCATCAGTAATGAGGTCCAAGTAGGATGAACCACCCCCTCTCTTGATGCTTCCTATGACCGTCGTCTGAGCGTCAAACTCTAGTTCGATATTCTCCCAACCCTCTTGAAGGCCGCCAAAAGAGCCTCTCTTATCCCCCATAGCTTCAGCCTCCGCTAGGCTCCAGTCCGCAGTTATTGATCTACCTCCGCCTTTAACAAAAGTACCTTGATCATCCCTCGCCACCCAACCCCAAGCTCTTCTCCCCCAGTTCATATCTGTTACGGCATCTACATTTATTTTTAAACAGCCCGACCTTGGATTGCTCCATCTCGTATTCTCCTTCCCGCCCCTGTTACCTGCCGACTTCGGCTCTCCTTAAGCCTCTCTCCAAGCTTGTAGCACACAAGCACAACTGTTCAACAAGCTGGCCATCTCTTGCATCTCATTCTCCCAAACGACAGAATTCCTTCTCTTCCATAATCCCCATATAATCATATCTACCTTGGAACTCAAGCCTTTATCTGCACACGAAAGGAGTTGTTGAAGCCATACCTTAAAAGTCACCTCCCCGTCCCCGATAGTCACCCCCGCCTCCTTCCACGCCTCAGCTGCCTTAGGACATGTCATCAATGCGTGCTCCGTAGTCTCGTCATCTTGGCCGCATATCTTGCACAACCTCGGGATGGGTACCCCCCCTCCTTTCCAGATTAGCTGCCGATGGTAAGGATCCATCCAGTACCTGCCATATAAAATATTTGACCTTTGGCAGGATTTTTAAATCCCAAGTGGATTTCCACCTGTCCCAGTCCCCTTGTTCCTCGTTCTGCATAAGAGATTTGTAACAACTCTTCATAGTAAAGAGACCATCATTCTCTTTGCTCCACCAGAAACTATCCTCTCTGTCATTAAGGCTTATCGAAATGCTGTATATAGCTCTCCTGTCTTCTTCAGAAAAAATGTTTGTGATCCTTTCTATGTTCCAGTTCTTCCCCGACATATCCCTCAGTGCCGCTCCATTCATATCAGCTATCCCAGGAGGTTTTGGAGATTTAACTCTTCCATCCCCCCTGGCCCGGCAGCCAAGCATCTTCCCATACTTGAATCTCCCTACCATTGCCGGCCCCCGTCTTCTTACATTTGCCTTTAAGATGTCCTGGGTCTCGAAAATGCTCCTCCAAATGTAAGAAGGGTTGTTCCCAAGTTTCGCCTGCAAAAAATTGAAAATTAGACTTAGGAAAATATCTAGCTTTAAGTACTCTACTCATCAAGCTGTCAGGGGAGGTGATAATTCTCCAGCCTTGTTTAGCGAGCATAGCTAGGTTAAATTCCCGAATCTTTCTGAAGCCCAAACCCCCATGCTTTTTGATTTGCATAGCAATTCCCATCTCCGCCATCTTATCCCTTTCAGCTCGAATTTCGAGCCCTTCCACCAAAATCCATTCATCAGCTTCTCCATCTCATCGCATAAATCAAGAGGTAATAAAAAGACATTCATAACATACGTGGGCATTGCCTGAACCACATTCCTTAGAAGCACAGCTCTTCCTGCTCTAGACAGAAAACGGCTGTTCCAAGTTTTTATCTGGGTAAGTACCCTGTCTCTAATGAATCCCAAGATAGCTGTTTTATTTCGTCCCACCAGACTTGGTAACCCCAGATACTTTTGTTGGCCACCTTCCTGCGGAACACCAAAAAAATTGCAACAATAACTTCTGAAAGTCTGGGCCACATTTTGGCAGAACGTGACCGAAGACTTTCGAAAATTGATCTCTTGACCCCATGCTGCCTCATATTCTGCCAGGATATTTTTCACCACCCCACACTCTGGCCCGGAAGCCTTAAAAAACAAGAAGCAGTCATCTGCAAAAAAATAAATGAGATACCCTGGGTGCCTCCCTGCAAACTGCCACCCCGTGTAAACCCCCCCTACGTTCGGCCCTACTAAGTAAAGCACTCAGGCCCTCCGCCACTAGTATAAACAAATAAGGAGATAAAGGGTCCCCTGGCAGAGCCCTCTACCTGGCATAATAGGCCCCAGCAGATCCCCATCAAACTAGACATAATATTTGACAGTCTTCACACACACCATAATCATCTGAATCCACGTTTCATTAAAACCCATTTTATTTAAAATGCCCTCCAAAAAAGATCAGCTCACTTTGTCATACGCTTTGCTCATATCAAGTTTCAGCGCCACAAAACCTTCTTTTCCACTAGTCTTCCTTCTCAGAAAATGATTTGTCTCAAACGCCACAATTATATTGTCAATAATAGATCTACCAGGTACAAAAGCGCTCTGGCATTCCCCAACTAGAATATCCAACATACCTTTTAGTCTGTTCACTGGAATTTTAGAAAAAAAATTATAGACCACATTGCAAAGCGCAATTGGTCTCCAGTCCCCCATGTTTTCCGGGTTTTCCACTTTAGGAATGAGAACAATATTAGTTATATTAATGTGATCAGCCAGATTACCTGCCTCATACATCGACGCACACAAAGCAGAGATATCTGGTCCAAGCACCTCCCAATAAGCCTGAAAGAAGGCGGGATTCATCCCATCATGATGCTTTGATAATCATAATGATGATGTTCTATCTTTTTACTCTTACCCTTTCACTTACTTGCAATTTTTAAAAATATTAAAGCTATTAGCATATAATTGGGGACAAGAAAATTAGCCAATGCAAGTTACTTGCTAGATGGAAGAGAAGTTTGAACTAAAATGGTAATGACCAAATAAATTTAATTTATTAGGCAATTGATACTACCTTTGTTCTTAAATAGTTGTAATATCAGAAATTTTATATTATTCATGAGCCCGTTTGGTAGCACGAAAATCGGCTGTTTTGGCTGATTCTGCTGAAATTTTCGAAGTTCTGGCTGAAGTGGCTGTTTTGACTGATTCTATTGATTCAAGAAAAAAAAAATTTAAAAATATATGTTATTAATAAAATAAAGAAAAAATTACATGTAAAAATAGCTAAAATGGTCATCTACAGTAACTTCAGCCAATACAGCCAGAAAAGTAACTCCAACCTTACTTTTTCTGCTTATTACACAATTCAACACACGAAAGTAAAAGTTACGTGTTTGGTGAAAAAGCTGGCTGATAAGCCTGATAAGCCGAAAAAAGGGGTCTCCAAACGGGCATGTGTTCTATTTTGACTATATTTTATTAACGAATGATTAAAATTTAATTTTTAAAAAAATATAATTAAATTGTTCTCATCTTAAATTATTAAAAGAGTTTTTTATAAGAATATTACTAAAATAAAACTTATTTACATAAGTATGACTATTCATTACTACAACGTAGTGTTGTGGTAATTTTAGTTCAAAACTTGAACATGAATTACTCCCTCCGTCCCTAAATAAACTTCCATTTCTCTTTTCGAGAGTCAACTTAAATCACACTTAAACTCTTACTTTATATATAAAAAATTTATAAAAATTGAATTATTTTTTGCAGGCTTTGTAGCGGGTTTAATGTAGTTTCTGAATATGTAAATTTTATTTACTAAAAATAATCCGAGTTTTCACAGGGATCGTTTAACTTTATCGCTGATCAAACTTCGTAACCCGTAATTGGAAGTTTTATTAGGGACGGAGGTAGTACTATGATTTCATTACTACTATAGTAACTAGTCATATTTTTGTAAACCATCTTTATTTTGGTCATATTTATATAATTATTTCTTATTAAAATATGAGTTTATTTAAATTTATATAATTAGGGAATTAAATATATTAATGCTCAATTTTTGCATTGACAAACGTTAAAATGAAGGTGTTGCAACTGAAATATAATGGAGAAATTATATTAAACTACTAGTAATTAAAAGTGTCTAAAGTTGATATTTTCATTATCTATGTGTTATTAATATTTATCATGAACACGAACAATATGATTTTTTCTATATTTTTCACTTTCTATACTTTTCACTTTATTTTTTATCTACGAATAGGTTGAAACTATATGTCAAACAATTTTTTTTTTGTTTCAAATTAACTTTTAAAAATGTAATTTTCTTATATTTTTTGCTAACAGACAATTGATTAACTACATTAATTATATCAAATATGTGTGGCAATAACTCCCAATAAGGGTGAAAGTCAAACTCTTTTAATAAAATTTAAAGTATTGCCATATTTATTCTTTGATAAATTCCCATTATCACCAATAATAAGGAATTATTATTATGTTCATCATTCAATATCAAAATTTTCATATATCGAATGATAAAGAATCAAATCATAATAATGGAGTATTTCCCTTTTTCTCTCCACTTTAATTACATATAATGTCCTGCATAAAATTGTTTTGGATCTCGAAGGTTGAAAAATTCCTCTCAAATTATTCTATTTTCGGGATGAAAATTATATAGAGAGGTACAACGGGGTGAATACGATTTGGGACGGTTCAAGATTTGGGGTAATTTGTGTCTCAATAGTAAAAACGGTTCGAGACAGTATGAAACAAGTCTTTGTTCTAATCATGTCTCATTAAAGTTGGGGCCGTGACACTTCGCGGCATCACAAACTAACAAAAAATAATAATTAAACAAAAAAGTTTTGATTGATAAGTAAAATATTCTAGCATTTCTACTGTATATATAAGCAAAAGTGCAACATGTTCAAAATCATTATATGTCAATAGTAAGCTATCTTTTCAAAAAATTAAAAGCTATTAAACTTAATTAACTTTAGCAAGAAAAGTGCACTAATTTAACAAAAACAACAATTTAAAGTAAAAAGAA